GTGCATTAGGCAAATTAAAGCAACTTTCTGAAATACTTTTTTCTAATCACAGTTTCTGCATCTTATTTAATTCCTGTAAGAGCTTTTCTCCTATCCAATGTTTTCTTTTTCTGTTGTTCTACAGAGTTTCTACACAATTTCTATATTTTTCCTTATTTTATATGCTCACATAGTGAAAAGAAAAAATGATCAGAAAATGATTTAACAGGTCTCTCCATGTATCTTTGATATTCATATTCCACCAAAAGCCTGTGCATTTTATAGGGAATTCATTTTGCATGCCTAAAATGAGTTTTCAGAATTTTTAATTTTAGAGCTCGAGTCCATTAAAATGCATTACAGTAGCATCACAAATGTACCCAACTGGAAAAATATTTTGTCCTTATGAAAATGTAACTTGTATTATCTTCTCAGCTTACAAATCATGAATATTGTTCATTGCTACTGTGCTTCATAATAAATTAAAATAATATCCTGTTCCACAAAGAATGAAAAAATTTAAGCCATTTATCTGAAAAACTCAAAATTCCTTCTACATCCCCAGGTCCTTGGGTCAGCCTGGCCAGAGATAAAGCTGGGAGTTGCATACAGCAATAAGCAGGGAATGGTTTATCTGCTCCTGTCATTTGCTGTTCCAGACTGAGCGTGCTAAATCAGAGCTCTGGAGTCTCTACTTCTGCAAGAAATATAACATCAGGTTTGAAACTTGTCAGTTCCTAGATGAAGGCTTCATGTATGATGGAGGCCCATTAAAACATGAGTACTTTTGAGCAGAACACATGCGAATGGAGGATTTGTAATCATAAAACTGACATGGTGTCAATGAAAGATAGCAATATATTTGTGCATGTTGACTATAACGCAGAGAAAGCTGGCTCCAAGCATTCATATATTAAATGCTAGGTCCCAGAAAAGCACAACATCAGTTTTGAAGTAGTGAAATGTGGATAATAAGATATATAAGTTCCTTTAATTATTCTTCAAGTGTTAAAACACTGGAGACTTCTGTTTTCAAGTCTATCTGAACAAATACAAGATATATAAAAAAATGACATATATATGTGTATGCCTGAGTGTTCATGTATAAAATTGCAGTTCTCAGGCAGTAAGTTTTGTCAGACAATTGCAGCGGGGTGCTGTACCATGAGACTAGATACAGAATAGGAAGTTTTGCAGGAAAGCTGAAATTGTGCTCTTATTGTATTCAATGGCCATATAGTTGGACAAAGAAACCTGTTTTCTCAAATTTAGTGTATGGATAGTGAACCTTTGTCCAGCACTTCAAGACTACTATCTAGTTAAAATCATCTAATATACGATGGTGTTCAGCAAGGACAGCTAACTGAAATGTAGATTGTGTTAGCAGTTAAACCCTGGAACAGTATGGCAGAAATACCTTTTTTAAATAGCATGCCGCACTACTTTGAAAATGTTAGGGTCTGATTGTCAGTATATTTAATGGGTATAATATTGGAGTTACTTAAGCTGCTGCAATTTGAAATCACAGGAGCACTACCCTGCGTTAAGTAGTTTTTGGCAGATGGTGGAACAAGATAGCTATATTTTCCTGCTAGAAGATAAAAATGCTATTTGACAGAGCACAGAAAACCATGTTGCTTTAGCAGCAAAATTATGAAATCTGCTGTTTTAGTGGGCTGGAATTATAAAATACTGCTTGTGTCACAAGGAAGATAACAGCAAAATAATGTAAGGTGCTGAGGTTTCTCAGGATATATTTCATTTAACACTGAATTGTAAATTTGTATTCATTGTAGTGGCCTTTCAAATAAGTTTTATTTTTCACATATTTACAAAAATAATGTGTTTTGAATTCAAAGAAAAATGCTTGAGGCCTTATTGTGTTCTTGCAGTGCCTGATGTGGGGAAATTGTCTGGAATTTTATTTTTAATACCTAAAATTAGGCTCCGGGCACAGTGTGGAGGCAACAGATAAACACACTTGCTATAGAGGTTTTAAGATACCCCCATGAACTTATTTTTGCTTGCTCCATGCCCAAGATAAAATGCTGGCTTTGTTATTTATATGTTATTTATGTGTTTTTATGGGACATTTGAGTCATTGTGCTGTGGAGTATTATGCTTCCTTGGTATTTTAAAAATACAAAACTGAAGCGAATCAGGAAAATATTAGGAAGATGACAAAATCCTGTTCTAGGAGCACTGCAGCTGCTGGCGTGTTTACTCCTTATTATTACAGGGATAATTTTCAATTGGTTTGAACAATTAGTTTCTTCTACACAGTTGGGAACTAAGATAAAAGCTACTTGAAGCAAAAATGAATAATACCAGTGCAACATTGAAAGGAAAACTATTTATTTTGTCTCCACACAGTCACGTGAACTTATATGTAGTGCAAAAGATAACACACAGTACATAACAGTGCAGGAACTGGGAAGGAAAGAAACTGTCCTAGGCAAGACTAAATGCCAAATATTAAGAGAGGCTTTGTTTTATACTGATTTTCGGAGAAGCAACATAACATCATGAGCCATTTATAAATAACTGATGCAAGATCATGTAATATGCTGCTATAACAAGGCATGCATTTGCTTCAGCTGTAATGCCTGTGTGAAGTAGTTTTACTTTAGTTGTAATGATGACATCAGTCATGAATAATTGTCATGGAAAGTTACTGGTCCGGGCACAAATCTCCTCACTCATCCTCACTCTCATGAAAATAATGTAGCTGGTGATACTTTACTCAACCATGTGGGAGAATTCCTGCCTGAGGGGGTGGAATTTTGTGCAGGCAGCACATTGAAGAGAGTTAAAAGGACAAGAGGTTTCCAGATGCCTTGAATTAAACCGAGTGATTATTCCTGACCATAAATGTTTAACTTCTCTCCCTCAGCAAATCACTTTCAAGATAGATATTTATTTTCAAACAAAACCAGTTGCCTTGTGAAACTGTTGGTTGGTTAGGGGAAAAAAAATGACCTAATGCTTCTGAATAAAATATCTGATCTCTTGTTGCCAAGGCTGAGTCACTTCCTGTTACAATAACAAGACTGTCATCAGCAAACTTCTCTTGCCACAGACTAGTTTGCCAGTGTATGCATGGCTTTATTTGTCCATGTTGTTAGAAAGTTAGCATTGAAAAAACACACTGTACTAAATTTGGAGATGCCAGCATTGAGTTAAAGTGCGTTAGTACTGGATCTCGGCTTCATTTATTCCTGATAGTACAATCTCTGAATTTTATTTATTTATTTTTTTTGGTGCAACATGATAACATCCACCCAGCTGCGTACAGTAATGCTGTAATTCTATCAAGGGATTCTGGACACAGCACAATACATTAATATCATCAGGGCTTTCTCAACTGGAATTTGCAGGATCATAGTCAGCTGTTTCTTATTTACAGGAATAAGATTTGAAAAATATCTGGAAGCTCATTCTTTTTGTCACCTCACAGATATCCGCTGGTGTTTCCTTGACTATGGTGTCTTTTAAAGATGCATTTCAGTGGTCTTCCAAAATATTAGACCTGCAGTGGTTTTGGTCGTCCTATGGCCATGCTTAACAGGGCTGGTGCGGGATGAGCCAGTGGGCAGAGGTGATCTGCTCATGCCTCGGGTTCAGCAGAGCAGGAATTCGTCTGGGCTTTTACATAACAGACCAGAATTCAATCATTCAATCCCTGGGCAAAGTAAGTTGGCAAAAGCCCTTTCTGCAGTTATAGTGGCTAGAAAAAAAGACCCAATCCAGTGTTCAGTTTCAGTACTATTATAGTACTATTATTACACTTTTTCCCCCCCACTGAGTTGGAAATGTTAGTATCTGGGAGCGGTGTCTGGCAGGCGGGGGCTCTGGATAGATGACCAGTCAGATCTGTATGTGAATCCCAGTCCCTGACTCACCCTGTGTGGCTAAGTGCTGAGCCCATGAATAAGAAACAGAGGAGGGCATAAACTTCCTTTAGGGTTTTCTTCCCTATCTTTTGCACTAAAAATCAAGTGTCATATATCAGGTCCTCAAAATTAAGGGCCAAGTGAAAAATTAAGCTGTACTTTTTTGTGCCTCAGTTTCCCCCATGGGAAAGAGAAATGGTGAAACTTGTGAATTAATTTGTTATGTGCAGATGAGCAGCACAGCACTATGCAACAGAGATCTCTAGTTTTTTCGAGTAAACAAAAGCCTAGTCTCCCTGGGTTCTGGTTTTGTTTAACTCTGTTTACTATGATTAATATCCTTCCTGCAGGATCATTTATGCTAGTTCTTCCTGAGAGCAGTGTGATGGATAGTGGTAGACACCCTACATCTCTTATGCTTCTGTTCTTCAACCAAATCCAGCGGAGTCAAAATGAATGAGAGTACCTGTGAAGAAAAACTACTCAGAAAAGGAAAGGCATTATGCTGATCTGAAGTGTGTCAATTTGGACATAATTTTCATCCTCCCACTTTCAAAATCAAATTGTTATAGTCATGGTGCAGAACAAGGACATTACCAGGGGCTAGCCAGGTTTAATCTGCAGTTTTCTTCCTTTTGCATTCTTACAAATGCAAAATACCTTTTGTTGTTGTTGTTGTTTCTTTTTTAGTTAAAAACAAAACAAAACAGAAAATGCAAGTTGATATGTTTAAGTTGATCACAATGAATCTGAGGATAAGCTGCTATGCTCTGTTCTCTGATAAACAGAGACATTATTGTGCAGTCCTGGATATAGTCACTGATTATACTGTTTGGGCCATGAAAGCAAAATGTGTTGCAAGGGTTTGGGTGTCTGTAATGAACCAGTTGTAAATGCTGTGGTTGGTGTCTAAGCAGCTGTTGAGATCACTGTCAGAATTTCACCACTGCAAAGGAGCTCTCATGAGTTATTCCATTGTTTTAGGATGAAAAAGAACAGTTGTTTGTATACGTTTCTTTTTTTTTTTTTTTTTTTTTTTTCTCCTAAAACAGAACAAATGTTGGCTATAAACTGCATTTACAGTGTTCCAGGCTATATCAGTGGAAAGGATTTGTATTTGCCTGAGATTGCCTTTGTCTTCAGTGTAACGCATCAGACTCTGAGAGTATCAGTGCAGCCTAAAGGTTCATTTTTCAGGAGGTTTTGCTGCTGCATACCCTGAACATTCATTCCGCTGTGGGCAACTTTCCCTGTACATGCACTGATTCACTCCTAGAATACATCTGTGAATATAATTGAGCCCTAAGTTTGGATATTAAGAATCTCATGCATTTTTTAGGAACACATATAATTTTAATACTGGATTCAAGCCTCTTAGGGCTGTCTTAAAATAAACCTTACAGCCTGACATGGGTAACTCTTGATTATTGATGTGTAGACAGCAAAAAGCCCTTTGCCACTAGCAAATTATATCACATGCAGCATGTTAGCTACTGATTGCCAGAAAATCCTAATTCTTGTAGGTGAAACTATGGTGTAAGACCTTTGGCACTCAAACCTCCTCCTTTCCTCTAGTTTAGGGAACGGTGAGTTCTCAGTTACAGGGAGTGGGAAGGTGATGTCATTGAAAAACTATTGCCCTGCTTTGATACTAGTAAACGTGCTCAAAGTTCTCTGGGGACCTCTAAGGGCTGAAAAATTCTCCCTACCACAGTTGCTGTGGGATAGAGGTAGTTTTTCTCTCATTTTCTCAAACTTTCTTTGCTGGTGTTTTTAGCTAGGATGCAAGTGAAGGGTGTTTTGGAAAGTAAGTCTGTATCTGCGCCCTTTTAAGAAAATGTGTTGAAACTGAAGCTGGATGCATTCTTAGATCATGTATGGAAAAAGACAGGAACAAAAAATGCCAGAATTGTGTGCGCATGTGTGTGTGTACGGATAGATAGATTGGAGGCTGAGGGGGACGACAGACGAAGCCCTTTGCAAAACAAAGTAGTGGGTGCCAATGTTGATGTTTTTAGGCATGCCTTTCACTAGTGACTCTGTGATAACTTATTAACAATCGAAACTTGGGGGCTGGATTTCTCCTTTTTCTTTTCAGCACATACAATGTGAAAGAAATAGAGTGAAAGGTCCTGGCAAGGCGCCCATCCTACTTCTCGGATAAAGGGTGAGTGATGCAACACCATGACTCTTTTTCCCTCTCACATCTTGCCCATCACATGGGGAAGTGAGCAATTACTTAGCTTTTTCATGCCTGCCAGCTCTTCTGGGCTTTGTCTTGCTTGTTCTGGTGACAGGCAACCTCACACTACTTCTGGCCACCTGCTGTCCTCACAGGGCCTAACCTAGCCTTGGAGGCATTTGAAGTTAGAGATTGGTTTGGATCTGAGTTTTGATGCTGACCGGTGTCTTTGTAATGGGGCCATCATGTGTACGAGATCCAGAGACTCAGGCTGTGTGCCAGTATTACCAATGATATATATATGTCACTAAGATGCCTCCTCCTTCTCCCTCCCACAGTTATGAATACAGCTTTTTGAGCTCTAGGACCTATGTGTAATGAGTTTTCTTCCCAACCCTGAAGCCTGAGTTTGGTTTGTTTAATGTGAGAATAGGACGTTCTCTGCAATTTTCCATGCTGTAATGAGGCTTTGAGCAGGACTGCGAGTGTCACAAGACTCCTGATAACATCATGGGAGCTAACAACACTAGCACTTGAGTTAGCTTTGCAGATTCAGCCTTTTTCTGAAAATAACATTCCAACAATGCAGAGATAAACTGAATTGTTTCAGAACAAAACAATCTCGCAGAATATTTTACTTTGATCTTTTTTTTTTTTTTTTTTTTTTTCCTTTACATAAAGACCCTCTTCAGATCATCTGAATGGGATTTAAATAGCCATAGGATCACTCCCATGTCACTTGATTCATGACATAACTCAGCTTGGGGAAAGAGACAGAAGTGAAGTTTTAGCTCCATTTGCAAAAGTTGAAAAAAAGTGATGAGGATGTCTGAAACATATTTTTAAACTCTCGGTGACACTCAATATCATCTTAGTCCAATCTGTAGCACCACTGAAACAAGTAATGTTCAGCAGAGGCCACCAGCAAGCATAGTCCCTGGCGATGTCACCAGTGACATGTCTCAGAACTGTCACCTGCTTGCCTGCAGCCCTGAGTGCAGCCTGGGATCGCTGGAGTACTTCATCCGGCAGGATTGCAAGGTGGTGAGTCAAAGGTGAAATGCCAGCAAGCGAGAACAATTGCTGGTTTCGCTGGCTGAAATACCAGTCGTATTATGCATTTATTATACTTACACAGCAAGACAACAAAGATAGAGCAAGGGAATAAACTGCAGGAGAACTACATTGTCGGGAAGAGATGGTATGCAAACATGATAAAGAGTACAACTGTGATAAAAAAGCAGTAAAATGTTGCCTGATATATATAGTGGCTGATATGATATTGGACATTCAGACAGGCATATTATTTCCTTAAATGAGGAGATTTCTCTCTCTCTCTCCTTTTTTTTTTTTTTTTTTTTTTTTTTTTTTTTTTTTTACACTACTTCCTGCACATGCTTCTAGAAACTTGGAAGGTTGCAGCTGCTCCAATTCACAGTAGTATCAGGACTAAAGCATTCCTTATATGTCGTATGGGCAATACTTACCAAAACTTAGGTCCCAGGCATGCAGCTAAGCCCACAGACATGAAGCACGTGCTTGAGCACAATTCTTGTACTTAAAGTCAGGGATATGCTTCAGTGCCTTCAACAGCAGCATTTTGTTTTGAATGACTCCAACATTTGCCAGTAATTAAGCATGTTATTAATATTGGCTTAATACAGAGATAAATATCACTCATTGCTCTAGGAAGTTGGGGAGACTGTCATTTTGTGACTTTCCTTTTTTTAAACAAGGAAACTAGTTCTGGAAATAGAAAAATACAATATATTGCCTGTTTTACATTTTTAATTCTGTTTCTTTTACTTTCGTGTTTTAGAACAAACACTGACTGGGTAACCTTCACTGTTACAGTTTAGTGATTAAAAAAATAGAGTTGTTTTTTTTTTATTTTTTTATTTTTTTATTTTTTCCTAAATGTGATCTGTGATCTGTCTTGGAAAGACCCTACAGAATGATTAAATTTTGTTGAAGTCTAGGAATATTAGTTTTGAAACTTATTAATTTTGAGGGAAGAAAGGTTCAATTGGTTTAAAAGTAAACCCAAGTACTGTACAATATAATGATATCAGAAAACCAAAAAAGTTAAGTTGTATTTCTGATAGATAGATTTTACAATTTTTGGCCACCAACCATGATATAAGATGACTTTGTGAGCATAACATAAAGGTTACGTAAGCCTCTCTCTCTCATTGTTTAGAGTCTCATTTCCAAAAGGAAAAACTTAATCAAGAGAAAGTCTTTCAAGATTTTAGGAAGCTGGGAGGAAAAAAAAAAAATCAGTTATGGTGCAATATTCTTACCAAGATTAATGTAATAGCTGTCTCTGAATGAAATCTAGAAATGACAGACATGGTGATAGGGGTGTGCTACAAGCAAACATAGGCATATGACCTCACAGAGAACATTCAAGACCCTAATTCTATGACAACTTGTTAATGTGCTTAGCTTTATGCATGTCAGGAGTCTCTTTGCTTCAGATTACACATATGCTTCATGTTTGCAACCTTACCCTTCCAGGACATCTTCCAGCAAATTCAACACTCCTTTATTTTCCTCCAAATGCTAACTACATTACACACTTTCCTCCCTTTCAGTCACTTTAAAAAAACACATGATCCATTAAGTCAATGGCAAAATTCTCAATTACTTCTGTAATGCTGGAAGTTAAGCTCTCTGCTTATGAAACTTAAACCTTTATTTTGAGAAAACTGTCCAACATTATAAAAAAGTCATTTTAGTCCTGCAGCTCTCCAAAATGGTCAGTGTTTTATACTTTTCCCTTATACTTAATAGCATTTGCTTTCAGCATTTATTATCAGTATTTTTTGTGCTATTTGGAACATATGCTAATGATGGAGGTCAAGTCTAGTTCATCTGGTCATTTAAAGATCCTGTGATAATATTTATAAGAATTTTCAGCCTTTCTTCCTCAACCTCTCCTGTGTAAGATGCTGTCTTTCAGATTTTACCTACTATGTACATAAGAATTGGTTGCCATCCTATGATATATTTATGATATAAAGATGATATAATTATTGCAGAAGATGTTAGTAGGAACTCTTTATTAAGAGACAGTAGCCAGGAGACACAAGATGCTGAAGATTTCTAATGAGGTTAATTTACGGAGAAATATGGAATGAGTTTATACATGTATCACCTCAATCATGCCAACACTGTTAATGTCTTTCTTCTCACTTCTGAAGCAAAGCCATGATAGAAAGATTTCTCTGTGCTTCATGTCTCCTCTTCTAGCCTTGGCTCTACAAAGAAGAAGAGCAGGTTTCAGAAGATATGAAAGGAAGCTGCAAAGAATTGTGGACTTACTGATAATGGATTTCCTACATTCAGTAGTGTCAACATCTTTGTTCAGAATGTACTATGAAATATAGGACAGAATAAGACCTTCACAGAGGCAGACCTGACATATTGTCTGCAAGTTGAGAGTCAGAGGTTGATGACTGCTGGAATCAAGCACTGATTCGACAGATCACAGATCAATAGGTAGGATGGAACCTTTTAGTTCAGATGTGGATTCATTGCTATTTTCAATTTCTGTTAAGCTAATATAAGTTGAAATTTCTCTGAAGTACAATGCATTGTGCAGAATTAAACTTCAAACCCTTCCTGAGGACATTGAAGTAACCTGCTACCATAACTATGCATTATTCACCATGATATTCTCTTTGAAACAAAAATTTTCCCACTTTTAATGTTGGTCTTTATAGAGCTTTTCTGAAAGTGGAGATCAGATAATGAGATGGTTTAGCTAGCCAGTGCCTTGACATGTTTCATTTATGGCTTGATTAGACCATGATTTAATGAGATACTGTACTACATGTAAGCACATCATCTTCTGTCATTTAACACTGACTGCAGTCTGAATGTTTAATTTTGGCAGCGTCTCTGCACTTTTGAAATAATAATAAATAAATAAATAAATAAAAACAACAACCAAACAGCAGTAAAGCATAATTTAAGTAGAAAGTTTCATTCCAACTGCAGTAGGCAATTACAAAGAAAACCATTCTGAGACTGCCCACTTCTTTGCTTCTCTTTTCAGTCCTATAGACTATGCTTTAGTGCATCTGAGGTTTTATTATACTGTATAGTGTAATGTGTTTAGAATTTAAGATATGTAAGGGAAAAGCAGACAAAAGGACAATCTCATGTTTCCATTCAATTTCCCTGTGTGTGTTATTCCAGAGACTCAAAAAGGTGATCCATTGTCTAGATTTTGTGACTGCTGAATCTCTTTGTTACAGTGTGTCTTAGGATAACATTGAATTTTTTTGATATTCTTATTTGCACAGCTTCCAGCAGAGGAGCAGCTCTTGAGCACTGATATGTGCCAGTGGATTTTCTCTGATGAATGGCTTCTAAGCATCCAAAGCTTCACTAAATGGTACTGTAGACTGAATAACTCCAGAGTTGTAAACGATCTGAGGTGCTGCTGCAGTGTTTCAGGTTCATCTCCATTTGCAGTCTTTTTGCACTGAACAGATTTCAGTTAATACTAGTGGTCCAAAGAACCAAGGGAATCTTACCGGTGGGTTTTCTAATATGCAGTTCTCATATACATTCTCACTTGGGAACAAAGTGTGATGACATATGGAAAGGCTCACATCTATTTCTTGGCTTTTGGTTAATTGTTTAAACTGAAACAAGAGTCTGAAGAAAAAAAAAAAAGACATTAAGAATAAATTATGTCATGCTGAGATGAGGTTAATTATTTAACATCTGGCAAAAGCAGATAGATTCTCAGTTAACACAGTAGAATCCATTCAGTCAGCACCTTGATAAGCACCATGTCTCTGTCACTGGCTTGGATTCCTTCCTGGAGTTCCTGTGTATGTGCTTTCCAGTTCCTCTGAAGACTGGCTAGGCTGCCCATCAAGTCTGTTTAAAATGACTGTCTTCCATTGCCTGCAAGGTTTTGGTAATTTACAAGTGTGAGTGATGTACATGTGCAGACAGTTTCTTACTGTGTGGTCCACTTGTCCTGAAATTTAACTTCTTACTGAGTAGCTTGAGTAGGTTCAGTGTTGCATGTCTACATCCTGGGATGGCAGTTCTCAAAGGTATTTTTGCTGAGAAGAGGCCACTGCACATGAACACAGAATCACAGAATTGTCTAGGTTGGAAGAGACCTCCAAGATCACCTAGTCCAACCTCTGACCTAACACTAACCAGTCCTCCACAAAACCATATCACGAAGATCTACATCTAAACGTATTTGAAAGGCCTCCAGGGATGGTGACTCAACCACTTCCCTGGGTAGCCCATTCCAATGCCTAACAACCCTTTTCAGTAAAGAAGTTTTTCCTAATATCAAACCTAAACCTTCCCTGGCGCAACTTTAGCCTGTTCCCCCTCATCCTGTCACCAGGCACGTGGGAGAATAGACCAATCCCCACCTCGCTACAACCTCCTTTAATATACCTGTAGAGTGTGATAAAGGTCACCCCTGAGCCTCCTCTTCTCAGGCTGAACAAACCCAGCTCCCTCAGCTGCTCTTTGTAAGACTTGTTCTCCAGACCCTTCACTAGCTTCGTTGCCCTTCTCTGGACTCTCTCAAGCACCTTGGTGTCCTTCTTGTAGTGAGCGGCCGGCCCAAAACTGAACACAGTACTCAAGGTGCGGCCTCACCAGAGCTGAGTATAGGTAAACAAATCCTGGGTGCTGGAGTTTGGGAGAACATGATTTTCCATCGTGGCCATACATGGTGTTCTTGGTGTCCACACACATGCTTTCAATTTGCTGGCATGTGATGTAGTCTTCCTAGGAGGAATCCACAGTTAGTTCTCCTTATGTTACCACAGGGTTCAAATATATTTAATGCTGAAGGAGACATTTTTGGCTTAATGTTAGGGAAACATGGCCATCTTGAACCTCTTTCAAGAGGAAATCCCTAGGATCATGTTTGAAGCTCTTAAAGGTTATTCCCAAAGAAGCACTTTCAAATTATAATAACTAATTATTCATATTTGTATGGTCCCCCTGGGTCCCAGTATATCTGTACAGGTCTTTCCATGGCCTTCATCTTTTCAGTGGCCTTTTTTAACTTGTCATTTGAGTTAGCAGGAACATTATAAGATTATTCTGTATTAGCAGAAAAAGCCCCAGTCCTGTTTTATTTCACATTCATAAAGGAGAAAAACACAGAAGTGAAAATTTCATATATACTAAAAGTCTCAATGAGCAAAGAACAAGTATGAAATATTCTTGAAGAAGAAATAATTCATTTATTTTTACACCTCTCTCTTCAGAGCCTGAGCATCCCCGCCCATGATTGAAGGGAAAAGCAGTACCAGCACTGCTGTCATGCCCAATACTTAGAGCCAAATGTAGGAGAAACACCTTTACTAATCTATCATATTTGTTGTCCACTGGATTAAAATTCTCCAGTATTGCTGTTTTGAAGTGTTGACATTTCACAGCACCTGCAGGTCAGTGCCACAGGGCTGCGGAGTTTCAGGGAAGTGTGAGTGTTAGGTGTTACGCTCAGAAAATGCCACTCTGCTCTCATTTTAAAAGGGTATAAATCAGAGGTCATTGCACTGTAACCAGCAGATTTTCTGGAGTCAGTGTGAAATCATCAACCGATTCAACAACTTCATGTCTCAGAGTCTGGAGATACTCAGGTTTGATGCTTCAGATCCTAGCCAAGGCACGTCCTGTGTGTTTCCTACTTAACTAACACTTGCACAATTGATGGCTAAACATTCTTTCTGGAGCATTTACCATTTCCAAATATATTTATCTTTCAAGTAAATAAATTTTGTGTTAATTAGTGACAGCTCACTGCTAAAATATTCACTTCATTCTTTTATCACCCTGTGGCAGAGTTTTGTGTGCCCTGCCAGCTGTCCTTCACAGCAGGTCTTAAAAGTCTGAAGCCTTATTTGGTGTCTGCAGTGACCTTTTAAATTCCAGAGTGTAGTTGGGGCTACACAACTCACAAATATAACACTTGTTAATAAAATGTCAGTGTTGTTGCAGTCAGGCTTGCGTCGATCTTTCAAACTGCATTTTCAGTCATCCTAATGGCTCAGAATTGTGTACGTCTGGTGGCACAGTTGCAAGAGGGGCAAAACATTAAAAAAAGCACCCTTCTGTTCCATCCATATAACCAGTTCACAACTCTACCCCCTGGGGAAAAATCATTTTCCCTGCTTACATTCCAACAAACAGTTGGTTTCTTCATTGCTTAGGTGACCTCAAGTAAACCTAGAAATGCCAGTTTTTAAAGACTAAAAGATTGCCTAAACCTTCACTCCCATAACTAATAGCAATAGGAAAAGGAACAAAAAAAAAAAAAAAAAAAAAAAAAAGCAGAATGGCTAGCAGATGTTTCCTAAAGAATATATAAACAAGGAAAACGAGCAAACGAGCAGTCAGATTTTCCTTTAACTTTACAGTGCAGTTTACAAGTTCATTAAACAGGACTTCTGCGCAGGTCAACCCTTGCTGAGGGATTGTTTAAGTTGAAGAATTCTTGATTTCCTGCTCAACTGACTCACTTGATAAGATGCTTCATAATGACATCAGCAGCAGTTGAATAGTTAAAACGTTTGAATTGTATGAACCCCTGTAGTTTAGATGGTTCTTGACCTTCTCTGTGTAAGTAATGATTACTTACATACCTGCAGGCATGCTGAAAGCTCTCTGTAATGTATTGGAGAAAAATAACACAGATATCATTCAAAACTATTGCATTTGTAGTCTTTGAATACAAAAATTATAGCTGTTTAGATTTTAATGATCTGTCTTGTATAGGTGCTTGAAGCCATTTTTTTTCCATCTATTTAGTGAAACTACATAAGCAATTCAAGGGGTGTTTTTAATGTTTATCCAAGTGTAGATATTGCCTGTGTTCCTTCTCAAAATTGGCATTGCTGTGATGTTTAGCTCTTGTCATAGTCTTAAAAAAATGTTTTTAATATTAAAAATATTATTAGTTAATATTTATATTAATATTCTATGTTGGCACTGATTTTCCTCTTGTTCTGTAAAAGATTTTTATTTGCAGAAAACCAGTTGTTATCAATGCAAACTTTACAACAGACCTCAATAGTTTTTTAATTGACTCAGTAATGCACGTTCATTACTGGACTAATACCAGGCAGCTGGAGGTTGAGGACAACTCTCATATGATCTATAATAATGAAAAATCAGAATACTCCAGAATAATTGCAAACAATATGTAGTATTTATTTTTCCATTATGCATGGAAAAATAAAAATAAAATATTTGAAAATATATGTCATTGCAGGAAATGATACAGGCCATTTCTAAAGCATCTCATCAGCTGATTTGAGGATGACTGGACATAGATACAGGAATCTGAAATCACTGATAGAGCTGTATTTTCATTACAAAATAAGAATGTTGGCTCCACTATCTTAGTTAACAAAACAGATACTCCCACCTTTTTCCCAAGCACAATAGATGAACACTCAAAATCAGCTCAAAATACTATCAACTCATATTAAATAAGAGATTATTGTTAAATGGTGCATGCAAACAGTATCTATATCACAATATAGTCATAACTGTTTGGGATTAAATGTTCCAAAAAACTTTAAATTACTATTGCATAGCTAATTAGAGATTAGGAGATATTTGAAGAAATTCTTGAGAACTGCTTTAATAAATATTAAACAGGATAAGACATATATTTATATATTTGTATTCATTGTGGAGTTGCTGCACTCACTTAATGGAAATTGGCCTGGAATTGCTACAGGTCCAACAGCAACATTTGGTGAATAGTTTGTAAACTCATTTGTTATGTTTGCAAATCTTTTTTAATGCTCCTGATGTTCTTAGAAGACGTCATCTCTCCCTTTCCGTATAAATACTTTTGTGGTGTTGGCAATCCCAACTTAAAAAAAATAAATAAATAAAATAAAAAATCCAGCTTCATTAAGTTAAAAAAAGTAGACAGCATTACAAACTATTTGAAATTTGCACAAAACAACTCTCATTTGATATAATTTAGATTTTGTGAGTTTAGTTACAAATTACAACAAGGATGTTTTCTTAGCTCTTATCAAAAAAAGCATCTTCTTTCCCAAAGCAAGATTGGTCTGGTTCAGCTAAGGCCAGCTCCTTTGGTTCCTTCCCTCTTTTTCCCATTGAGATAGTAGCTTCTGGGTAGCTTTAAAACATTTATTTATTTATTTATTTATTCAGTAAGGTATTTATTTACTTACTTTTTTTTTTTTTTTTCATGAATTGTCCGGTCCAAACAGAAATCTGTCATAGCCAGCATCCTTTGAATAACTGTATGTAAAATAATTTCTAGTACCATCAGCATGGTATAGTCTGCAGACCTAAATATAGTGAGATATCACTGATCAGCATACACTCATCTTTTAGACAAATGCACATGATGTATCCACGTTAAATGACATCTTCCATAGGATTAAGTGTTGTGGCATGTCAATTGTGAATACAACTACGAATAAGATTATGTAATGTGGACTAAGAGAGACATTTCTTAGCAATTCATAGCTCTCTGCAGATCTCCTCGTAACTGTATGGTAAATTAATGCATGCTGTCACTTCCTTCAATCATCAGAAGCTGTGTAAATAAAATAAGCTGTCACATTTTTGGTCCTTTTCTGTGTGAAATTTAAAACATTTCTCGAGCTAATAAACTCAAGTCTAGGACTGCTGGTATGTGCTTGACTTTTTCAAGCTGTATACTTCAAAGCGTAAAAGCTAGATAAGCTAACAGCTCATTCAGTGAAGTTATTGTGTTGGAGGAAGCATGTCTATCAAATACTTGCTTTACAAATTTGAATAGATGTCATTGTTCTCAGTAATGTCACCCACTCTGCGGCTGCAGGCAGTATTTGAACAGAGGGAATGTGAAGCATTTTTATTTTATTTTATTCAGGGGTGCTTCTTGGCAGGGAAGTCAGCCACTCTTTTTCTGGATCTTTATCAAAATGATGATTCAAGCAGTACTGGGGAGGCTGAGTAAACAGCTGGCCAAAGTGCTGAAGATCAAGGAAATGGTATAGCTGCACGGCCTTCAGAGTAGATGAAACTCAATGTAAGAAAAGAAAGAAACCATGACAATAAAATGTTGATTGTGGTTTTCTCAGAAAGTGGGTGCTAAGGAATTAACTTTGTTGGGTGCTAAGGAACACATGGTTTGTTTTGTCATTTATCAATTGTAAGCGCAGATCACACAGTGGCTGACTTCTGTTTCTCCTTGGTATTCTAGGTCAGTGTGTTACAGACATCTGCCCGTTGCTGCAATCCGATTGTAAGACAAACACCATCAGCACAAATACATTCCTTGTCCTAGTTACACCAATACAATCTGGCCCCTGGTGTTTATTTCAGTGCTGAGTGATTCTTTTGGTTATTAATAGATTGGTCTGAGATTGTGTCAGTGGGGCAAGAGGGAAGCTGCGTTAGCAGCCAGAGTACTCCGGAGAGGTCTGTTGGCTGGAACTTGTCCACTGCCTGTGTAAAAGTCACGGTGAAGAAGTGGCCATGGAGCAAATGCTCTATGGACTTTGCCTTGGACCAGCAGCAAAAGACCTCAGACACAGACTGGAAGAAAAGCTGTGACTCACAGTTCTGTTTTTTTTCTTCCCTGGTTATCTGTGAGGGAAGTAATCTCTCTCTCTGATATATATGATTCAGAGGTAGCATTGTTTGCATGGTGTTCTTGAGAAAAGGGGTTGGGAGGGACACAGCAAATTATATGTGACGGGCAGACTTTGCTTTATCCAAAGTACGTCAAAGTACAAGAGTACCTACACAGCTGCAGTCTGTTCTTGCTCCCTTATCTTACTTGCCTAAAAAAGCTTTATAGCTCTGTGCATCTTTATGTATCTGCATGACAAATACTTTTGCCAGGCTGAATTGGGTTTCTGTCAATGCTGTCAATCCTCCATGGCTCCATTACAGTTGCTCAGGGACTCTCAAAGAAGGCTAAGCAAATTAGATGGACAAGAACTGAGTTGAAGCTTTCTAGGGAATGAAAGGATAGAAAAGTAATTTTGTAGGTTGGCTGAGCTCTTGATGAGATGTTTAACGCTGCTGTGATTTAATTGTATTCCTAATGGTGCATTAGGGTGTTTGAGCATTTTGCTAGGAGTCTCCTGGTTATTATTTAAATCAAAGGGAATGAAACACAATAGGTGTCATTAAAAATCCCTCTCTTTGTATTGGAGAAGATTAGTAGCATTGTTCATGTATCTAGTAAGATACATTGGTCCTGATCCTTATTTTCATGAATGCTCTTTTACACATTTTGTACAGCTAAAATGCTCCTGACATTGTTATAAATTATTTATACTCTGTCTTTCTGCTCTTGAGGGCTCCACTTAGGCATGGTGCCATACTATACTGCTTTTGAGCATGCCACAGTTGTGCTCTGAGTTCAGGAACTAGCTTAAGAGATATGAGTTTCTGTGCCTTGGCCCACAGAACAAATGAAAACAGACCCATCTTCTCTACAATGTGAGTACTTCAGTCTGTACTTTGGACCATCTTGTCTTTGTCAGAGACACCACTGTGCTTTTTTAGCCCATCCACTATTAATTAACGAAAGGCCACGTAGCATAGATGAGCTCTCAGAAAGGGGGAGCAGATAGCAACAATACTGATTCCTAAGGATGTGCCATGAGCACACAGTCATTGAGCGAATGTGATTAATCCTGTAATTTCTGTAACATAAAATTAGCAACTAGGGTTTTCTTCTTCTATTTCTTCTTCTATGCTGTGATCTCCATGAATCTATGTAAGGAAAGATTCTTACATACACAGAGGAAGCCTAATGTGAGGTCAAAAACTTACCGAGAATAACTTCTTTTGAGTGAGCATTGAGCTTTATATCATGTTTTTTCACAGTAGTTTCAGTAATTGTTTCTCCTCTCTTAACTTTGTTTTGTATTTCACCTTGTCTCTGCAACAGTTTCTTGTGTTTCTGAGACATCTCAAGCTCCTACAAACATTTCAAAGAAGACTGTAGTAATGTCTAAAAGGTGTTCTACTGATCTCTTTCATTCCCTAGAAAGCTTCAACTCAGTTCCTGTCCATCTAATTTGCTTCTTAATGTCCATCTGATTTGCTTAGCCTTCTTTGAGAGTCCCTGAGCAACTGTAATGGAGCCATGGAGGTGTTCTACTGATCTCTTAACCTACACATTTTTTTCTTCTCTGAGGAGGATCATTTTTAGATGACAGCTCACTACTTGTTTATTTTGTCTGCACATAAATGTCCTTTACCTCCATTGTAATTTGACTGTTAAATTTCAAGCTAACATACTACGGTTTCATTGCCACAAAACCGGACAATATTGTTAGTTGATTTTTGTTTGTTTATTTGCCTGGGTGCTAGAATAGTGTATCAAATCCATTGCTGAAATAATGTTGCATGATTTTGAGCCCCAAAGCAAAAAACTCCAATCACAATTTGTTAATCTCCGGTAGCAGGATACTGTTTAATTACACAAATGAAAATATAGTGCACCAACTTCCTCTAACTCAAGCTTGAACTAAAACTTGACTTTTGTGAATAAGTACTGCTGGGACATTACTGGACTACTGTTTCATGTTGGAAGTTAGGAGAAATTTCTTCCCAGAAAGAGCAGTCAGGCATTGGTATGGGTTGCCCAGGGAAGTGGTGGAGTCACCGTCCCTGGTGGTGTTCAAGGAAAGGTTGGACATGGTGCTTGGGGGCATGGTTTAGTGGGTGACATTGGTGGTAGGAGGACGATTGGACCGATCTTGGAGGTCTTTTCCAACCTTAATGATTCCATGCTTCTATGATACTGGAGTGATTATTATCTCAGTACTACTATGAATAAGAACGTATTACTTCTGCATAATGCTTAATTATTTTTATTGTTCTGGATTGACTATAACTATTAGTAGTCTTTGGGGCATGAGAATAAATGCTTCCAAGGAAAGATTTGAAATAAAATACATACTTGTATTTTCTTTCAATCTGGGGAAGTAAACATTTTCTCTCTCTCTCTCTCTCTCTCTCTCTTTTTCTTTTTTTCTTTTTCTTTTTCTTTTCTTTTTTTTTTTTTTTTCTTTTAGGATCTAAAGTGGGGAACAGGCCTGAGGAATCTGAAGGGTTTTCTAACAGATAAATCACTACACATTTATATAAAATGAAATTAATAAAATAAAATAACAAAATAAAATAAAATAAAATAAAATAAAATAAAATAAAATAAAAATTTCACTCAAGATGCTCAAAAGACAGAGGATTCATCCTAACAGTGTTCACGTTCAACTGCCTGGAGGCAAATTAGCTTGTGTTTGAAAATTAAAGGTAATTATTGCCAATTAAATAAAAGCTTTCATCTCAAATGGGTAGAAAAATATAAAGTCAGACTTTGGTGGTGTAGTTTCAGTTTCTATTATTTCATTTTCCCATTTCACTACAGTTGCTATGTCAGCATAACTACCCTATGGTGATGTGAAGATATGGAATAGAAACTTGGAACATATTTATAAAAGATTTGTGGGTTTTAACTACTTTAGTAATTTTTATTTAGACAGTAGCATGAAACTGCTTTATGTGAGGCTTTCACAATGGTAAATGTTTTTAATCACAGAAATATATTTTTACACTGGTTAGTCTCTGATGTTATGAATAGTTTTCCACCACTTTCTTAAGACAATTATTTCATAGCCTAAAATTTTAATTAGAATTTTTTGTCATTTCTTATTTACTTTACTTGCTGACTGCTACTGGAAACAAGGATGTGGTCATTAAGGAGGGAGGGGGAGGCACCACAAAATTTAGAAATCTGCAGCATAAATGTCTGTAGCTGAGTGGGTGAATGAGCTCCCTTTAAAGTCAATGGAGAGGCAGAGGTATTTTTATAATGTATTACCTCCAATGTATTTTTGATGTTAGTTTCAGGAAAAGAGGTGTGGCATCTTATGCTCTACTGACTGTGTTTACTAGATATCTATTGGCTCCATTAAGCCTGGGAAACTGGACTCCGCATCCTGAACTGTAGAAGTCTAATGAGTCTTATCAAGAAAAGTACATGCAAATCACAGAGATGATGAGAACAATCTGCAAGGATATTATGTGATACTAATTTGCAAATTATATAAGCCGATGATTAGGCCATTTGGCTGTTCAAGACTGCTGGCCGGTGAGGAAGAAAGGACAATATATACTTTGCACAGCTGGAGCAAAATGCTTATGTGGATGCTGGGGTGATCAGTAGAGATGAAAATTATGTAAACCATGATGCAGGTAATTCTTCATAACAGGCAAGCTTTCTGAGACCTCTGTGTTATGTGAGATAATAAGCAGGTATTTGCTGGCAGGGAAAATTAACTGAATTGAGGACTTATGGGAAAAAAAAAATCATTTGGAAAACAGAAAATATGGGTTGAAATATTGAAAGCAAATGTTAAAACAAGTTGAAATGGAGAAAAACACACTGAAAATAAGACAATGTAAAGTGAACTAAGATGTTATTGCCCTTGGAATATTCAGATGAAATTAAATTACCATCAGACTGGACAGTCCAGGATAGTCCTTACATGAGAGATATATCAAATGGCTTGAAAACTAGATATTTTTCTCAGTTTTCAGAATATTTTTTTCCATTTTAAACTTATAGGTCCATTGATTGTACCCAAGACCAAGACAATATTCTGTGGAGTTTATACAGTAGATTATCTTCATAGTAAATGGTTATTTCTCTTTCTCTACCCTTGTTTGATAGTTGCTCTGTGATTATTTCATTTGTTTTTTCTGCCTTCAGCTACATGTCTATAATTAGAGCAAAGATCATTCAGGAATGTGCTTGTTGGAAGTCATCACAGGCACATCACCACAGCTTAAAAGTGACAGCTTGATCCATAAATCAATGACTACCAAACAGGACATCTCAGCCAGTCATTCATAAATGGGTGAGGCATTCCACTGAGTTGCTTTTTGATACATTAACACTAGCTTTTGCTTTAACAATAGCAGAAATACTATTGCAATCCGTTATATCAATAGAGTTAAAACTGCAGGTGGCCTGGAGAACCCATTTTCAAGACTTCATTGGATTGGTCACTCTGTAGTTCATGTTTGTTTCTTCATTATGAAGAAATACACACAGTCACACAGTTACAACTGACCTTGAATTAAAAAAAAAAAAAAAAAAAAAAAGCAGGGAACAGGGGACACATTCTTCTCTTCAGTGTGTGGAGTTGTTCACTGAGAATTCAGTAAGAATCAATAACGTATAAAGGCAGAAGACAGCTTTTGTAACTATCTGACAAATTATTCATTAGACAAAGGGATTAAACTGTGACCTCATTATTAAGTGTTTAATCATACAGATCACAAAATTCCAGTACAAACAATTTTTAATGATACAAAATCTGTTGCTGTATAAATATGTTCTAAATCACATGGTTTCAAACAGAAAAGTTTTCTTCAAATAAATTCAAATTCAATCAAATTCAGATTTATGTGACTCAAATATCTAATTTTCATGCAGCTTTTTAATGGCTTGATACACACCCACTGAAGTCAATGGTAATTTCCAGTGAAACCCTATGGGAAAGTATCTGTCAGTAACTGAATTGTTCAGTTTTCCATAAGTAGATTTCTATCTTTAAGATTAATATTCAGGTCTTTAAATAAATACAGAAGTACATGTAAATATTTACTTAAAGGATTTAAGACTAGGTTTAAGATTAAATACATGCATATTTTACAGTAGAAGGATGAACCCCAGTATATACTTACATAATGTGATGGATTAGTTTGTTATAACCTGGTAATGCATAAAGATGCCAATTATGCCAGGCAATAGGCAAAGAAATGTATATTCTATACTCAGGTTATAAGAGACACTTTTAAATTCTGTTTAAAGGTTTATCTGAAAAAATGAAACCAATTAGTACGTGTAGCAAATACACGTACTTCCTAACATAAGTTCTAACATAAGCTTCTTACAATCTGGGTGGGTTCAGATGATACAGGTGAGAAGTGCATTTGTTTATCCTTATAATAAATTTTCCCTTTTGGTCTCCAGCCTGCATTAACAATCTTTCTTGATCCAAGGAAGTCTCACATATTTTAGTCAGTGCTTAAATAAAGAATGTTGGAAGCAAACTGAAGTAATAATCCTGGGAATCACTAGGAATCTAGAAACAATTATAGTTGCTGTTGTATGTATGTGCGGTAGATGTATTTACAGAAATTTCAGATAAAGTGGTACTGTTAATAGCACTGGTTTAATCTATAGATTTGTGAATTGTGAGGATTCTTGCTCTGGAATAGTTTTGTGAGGGTTTCTTTACTACTGGATAAATGAAATAGACATTATGGGGTACCAGTGCTGAAGTCCAAAGTCATAGACAACATTTTTATTTAGTCCCTTGGACAGTCAATCCAAGACTATTCAGAATCTTTACCATGTCTTTCATCTGCAGTGAATTTCCTCCCCCCTAGCCCCCCCCTTTTTTTTTTCTTTTTTCATTTTTATTTCTAGGCTGCTCCCTTAGACTAAATGTTATCTACTGCAACAGAATTCTCAACTTTAGTATGAAACATATTGGAGGAATAAACCATAAATTACTTTGCAGTTTACAACAGGGTGTGCATAAGGAGAACTCATGTAGATGCACAGAACAAAAACAAAAACAAAAATAAAAACAACAACAAAAAAAAGACAGTAGAATAATAAATGATCTATTTCATTGCTCAATCACTCATAACATAACTAAAATTAACATCTGGTTCTAGGAGACGTGCCGTATTCTTTCAAGTGGCTGAAAGGACAAGAGTTGATATGATTAGTTTCTGTAACAGGGAGAAGAAAGATCTCAGGGGAAGCTTTACATTACCCATTAGTTTTTGCATCTGTTGACCTCATTTACTCTCAAAGATTGCAATTGAGTTTTTTGCTTCATTTCAAAGTTGTAATGGCAGTTTTGTCTTCAGCTGTTTCTTTCCTCTCCCTCAAATATCTTTGGATTTATTTAATATGTGAAGGACTTGTTATATTGGGTCTCTAACCAATAAATCTCTCTCAAATGGGTGTTTGAAGTAGAGAGACACCAAGAATGTATAGGACAAGATCCCAAACAGCCATAACTCTTGTTTGTGGCCATAAATGGGGTTATCCCAATCTACATCTACTAAAGAAAACAAAACATAGTGTTTCTGAGGTGCTTCTTCACTAGCTCCAGTTCCTTATGCTGCATATCTAACTGTGAGATAATTTACCACTATTTCTTCCTTTCCTTTTTTTCCTTTTTCTTTTATATTTTCTTTTATATATTTTTTTTCCCCTTGGAACTAAGTGATGGAATTAAGTAGTGTTTTTACCTAATTTTTCATCCTTTTCTTGAATTCGTCAGGTCTCTTGAACGGCCTGTTAAGGCTAGGACATGGAATGGGCTTGGTGTCTGGGTCACTAAGAAGGTCAAGAGCAATGCTATTTGTAGCTATTATCGGTGGCATGTGCAAACTCATGAATGATTAATCTCAGAACAGCTAAAGTATGCTCCATAAGTTCCTCTCAGTTTGTCTCCCACACCCATAAGGACTTGCAATTTTAACCTCCATATCATCAATTCCTTGCTGTTTCTCTGTCTCAACTGTCTTTCCTTTAAAAATTCTACAGTCTTGAAGATCATTATTTCATCCTTGAAAATCAGTTTCCATTTACCCAGTTCACCACTTTCTGAAACCACAGTAACTCATGATTGCTGGGGCCAGAGGGGAATTGCCTGAGAGATGTGTAATGCACTGAGCTAACATGTAAGGCTAAAGTATAAAATTTAAGTTATAAATGAAAGTGACAAGCAAAATTTTTCTCCACTTAGCTTTATTAATGATACAATATTTTATTGCCTGTGGCTAAAAGTATTTATTGTCATTGTATTTAGCTGTAATTTGGTTTCATAATTCAGTTGGCTTTTTCATTATTTTTTTTTTTCATTTTTTTTTCTTTTTTTTTTTTTTTTCCCATGTATATTATTGTCATAGTTTATGCCTATAGTAAGTGTGTGGTCTTCCAGGAACAAACATATGCAGATTGGTATTAATCTGAAGAATCAGAGGCTTAACAGTGGGCTTATTTTTAAGCATGTGAGTATGTGGCTGAAATCAAAAGCTGCACAGTTTGTCCTTCTAGGGTGACTAATAAAAACTGCATGTGTATTTTTGGTTGTAGGCACAACCGGGAGATACATTATATATATCAGGAGACATTAACCAGCAACATCTTCAAACCTTTATTTAATTATACAAAATGTCCTACCGAGAGAAAAGGGAATATTTGTGTGCTTTAAATTAGGCATGTGGTGGGTCACAAGAAGTGTACAGGATCTTGCAGAGTCAAGACCTGAATTTGTATATCATATATTAGACTGCGTTCAGAGATATTTGATGGGAATGACTGCAAACCAGAAAAAATTTACTAGAGAAGAGACTGAAAATTTGAAATAGTTTAATTTAGAAAATGGAGGAATAAGCAAATGTACCAAAATCATATGAAACAGTGAATGCTACTTGCATTGTAGAATGAGAATGTCCCTTTTCTCTGATAAATAGTATAACACTGAGGAAAGTAAAAGACAAGCTGGAAACCATTATAAGAAAACTCTCTACAGTGTGTAATTAGGTGGCAGAAATCTCTCTCAAAGGAAATGAGACCAATGATGCTTGGAGGATTCCAAGTGAGACTGAATATTTCCATAGATAACAATAGTTCCTGGAGTTACAACAAATGGTAAACAAGCAATGCAATAATGCTTATTGAAATAGCCATTAACCTTGTGCTCCAGGGCTCAATTTAATCTAAATGAGACTGGTATTGCTGTATGAAAACAGATGATATCTGACAGAAGGTACAGTTTATATTACACCTGAGTAATAGAAGAGTCCTCTGCCTCCTTCTGGTGATGACCACTCTCAAAGACAGCATTAGGGTTTAGAAAGAGACACAATCTTTTTTTCTGTAGGTCTAATCTAAAATGATAGTTCCAGTTCTTCAAAGTATTTGTCTAATATCCCTTAAAAGGTATAAATTTGACATTCAACATATTGTCTCTTGGTAGCTTTTAGTGTGGTGTATTACTAGCTCAACAGACTGCATCTGACACATTTCTTCAAGCTATGTTAAAAATGATAAGGGAAGAGGAGGTAATAGAGGCATCTAATCATTATTTATATATATATTTATTTAATCATAATAACCCCCCCCCCCCCCCCCAAGTTTAGTTCTTTTCATTACAGCATTTCTCGGCTTCATCAACTATGTTTCTGTTCCTTCACCCCTTGACTTTTTATTGATTTTATTTTGTTTACTTATTTATTTATTTTAAAGATGAGCATTTTTATAGTACTTTCAAATCAAATCAAGGATCTCCCTAGAGTGGGTCCTGCACATTTTGGGTATCTTTCATCTTTATTGCCATCATTCTAAATAGAACATGAAAGGATAATGACCTTGATGAAAACCATAATGACCATGGCATAAAACAGCAGTAGCATCCTGAAACTCCTCCTCGTGCCATGGACAACCTAAATAACAATGTGGTCTGACTGCAGTTATGCTATATTTTTGATGAAACACTCTCTCAAAATTATGGGGGCTGTTAAAGGTGATTCAAGATGGACTGCCAAACTTTCCAAATTACCAGCAATGCCATTTATGTGTACTTTTCTTTGTTGTGCAGTTTCAAGTGTGGATTACAGAGGTTAAAATTTTGGTGGGCATTGGCATGCTCACATCAAATTGGTTCTGTTCCACTTCTTACTTCTGTTAGATGTGCATCTTAATTGTTTAATGTAATATTTCTACTTAATTACAGGAAATGTCATTTACTATATTGATGGTAAAATGAACACAGGCAACGTAAGTGACATTGTACATTTTTACAATGAGGGAGAATATGATTAATTATGAGACAGAATAAATTAACTCATACATCAAATACTTCTGAGAGGTGTTAGGAGGTGGAGGTAGGCGGTGACTCCAGTTTAATCCCTTCTGTAGAGGAAATTAGAGTCAAATTATATTAGACACTAAGGAGCAGAAATGGTCTCCATGGCCTAGAAGAGCATATAATGGTACCTAACATTTATAGATGCACACCATATCATCTTGAAGTTTATACACTGTAAGGATCACTTCATTTATCACTACA